TGTTACTGGGAACGTGGGGAACAGCTTCCCATCTGAGCAGTGCTACTGTGGGGAACAGCTTGAGGAAGGCGTTCTGCACAAAACAAACACAAGGCAGGCCTGACAACTGCCAGCACAGAATGAAAAGCTGAAGAAAAGCAACAGCAGCAGAATTGTGAGGATCTAGCAGCTTTCCACACCAGAGATGAGAATGACCAACACAAGCAGATTTCAAAATTCCCCAAGCATGCATAAAGAAAAAGCAGCAGAGGTTTCAAACCAATATTCAGAACAGATGCATTCATTAAAACAAAGAGCTGGGTTTTTTTTTTTAATTTTTTTAATCCTTCAATTGTTAAACACCCCAGTACACCAGAAGAGTGGAAAAACAGAAACATAAAATCAAAACAGAGGAAAGGTGATGAGGGCTGAGGACAAAAGAGAAGGAACCTTAATATTTAAAGGCAATAAACATGCAGAAATTCGATCAACAGACAGGAATAAACTATAGGACACAAATATTGGTATCCTGTCAAGAGCTCCTGAAGAGTAATGGGGACCTGATCTTGGCTGCAATTTTTCCACACTGGTGTGGATCCACTACAGGGGCAACCACGAGTCTAGACACTGCAGGAACAGCAGTGCTATCAGAGGAGAGGTCTTACAGGGACCCTGTAACATTCTGGTACAACATCCATTAAAAAAAAAATCCCAAAACTGGACAGCAAATCATATGGTATGAAGCTAATCCAGGACCAAAACACCAACCAACCACAGCTTTTCTGCTCCTCTTGGAGGCTACAAAAGGAGAACAGAACTGGACAAGTGGGTACAGAGACAGCCCAAACAGAAGCAGAAAAGGTGACAGTTCCCAGGAACTCTAGAGCAGAAGCTGAGGTGCAAACCAGAAGGGATCTATCAGTGACTCGGCAAAGAAACTCACAGAGAACCTCAGAAAGGAGGAAAGCAAGGCTATACACAGCCTGCAGACCCCAGAAATTCACTGCTGTCAGTGAATGCCTGCTTAGTCTGATGTTATCATCTCCTAGCTCCCTCCACATTTCTTCAGGAGGAGAAGGGAATTCCTTCTTTGTCAGATGCTCATTTCCCTCCTCTACGCCCGTGTGCCACTGACAGTGCCTCCTGTGCTGCAAGACAGTCCTGGTGTTCAGAGCACACCCCCTGCTCAGGCTCACGACCTACCTCACTCTATACCTCACACCCTGGTATAGAATCACATACCCACAGAGTGGCCTGAGCTGGAAAACACCTGCAGAGACCATCTACTTAAACCCCCTCTTTCATCTGTCATTATCCCAGGTTGCTCCAAGCCCCATCCAACCTGGCCCTGAACACTTCCAGTGATGGGGCAGCCACAGCTTCTCTGGGCATCTTGTGCCAGGGCCTCAGCACCCTCATTGTAAAATAAAAAGTCTTCTTTTACGTCAAATCCAACCTCAGAAATCAGGATGATTTTGCATCAGGTTTTGCATACAATTATGAACTTGCTGTTGTTGCACTTTTGTTTTCTCAACAACACAGCCTGTCACCATTCCCTTCTGGGAGTAGCTGAAAATAAATCAGGAAGCTACCAATCCAGTTGTTCACATCATTCCACAACTGGTTCATCATCCACTCCAAAAAAAGACATTCATAAGCAACTGCTCAGCCAGAGCCAAGCTTGAATGGGCCCTTGCTTCAAGGAGCAAACACTTTGACAGAGGAAAGCTAAAGAAAACAACAAAAAATGAGCAGCAGCAACCCCAATATGACAGGCCATTATTTCTGACTTGGTAGGAAACATTTAATTCCCACGCTACAGAGGCTCACCCAAATGAGATTTATCCACTCACTGGAGTCACAGAGGTCCTTGCGTGCATTGGATTACGGCAAAGCCTTTGGTTTACATTACGTCAGTGCCTAAGTAAACTATCCTGACAGGAAGCAATCACTGAGCACAGAGCAACTCATGCACTCAACCCCAGCAGTCTCAGGGATGGCACTGGCTTTTGGTACCTACACACGCGTGGAAATCATCTGGAATCTGGTGCTAAGCTGAGCTAATGATTACAGACAAAAAGCAGAGCAGGGGAAAGCAGTTGCAGCAGGTCTGCTTCACAGCACGACACAGCTTACAGCTACCATAGTCAAATACTTTCCTTTTTAGACCACTGGCTTTTTATATCACATAACGCAAGACTCACCTACAATGAATTCCATTTTGGTGACATTTTTCATTACAGTTCCACCCTCTCCTTCTCATGCCACAAGGATTACTGATGCCAGAACAGCCTGTGCTGGTACCTCACACTAATCACAAGCACACTGAATCAGCCTTGCATCTAAAGGAAGCAACAGACCACTACCATCAGCAGCAGATACTTCCACAGGGCACCCTGCCTCAACCAGATGCACCAACAATCCTCAGAAATCCCCAGAAAAACCAGACCTTCAGCTAACAAGAACCAACACCACCAGTTCATCCTCCCACAAAAAAGGGCCTCACTCCTCTCAGCCCTAACACACACACAAGCACTCGTGTTAACTGGAATAACCCTGCTAGAGACTCTGGACTTTCCAATTTACACATCATGTTTCTCCCTGCTCCCTCAAAACCACCACAGCCAAAAGAGCAGCAAAAGCCGTTCACCTACAAATTGAGGAAAACACTGTAGAGAGAGGTGTCCTCTCTTGTTGGTAGCCATAGGCAACAGTCCTCAAGCCCCAGCACAGCAGTGGATTGTCTTCCTACAGGACTGGAGCCCTTTGGCTCTGACACATTCCAGGTGAAGCCTTTGATCCCATGGAAGTAACCATGCCCTGCTGTTAGTTAGCCTCTGTGATGGTACACACAGCATCAAAGAGCTCCCTATACCATGGGTTTATTTACAGAGCATAACAATGCTCTCTGCATTCTGTTTTCCTTCTACCTCCCAACATCCATTTGGCTTTTTTGACTACTGTTGAGCTCCAAGCTGACATCTTCCAAAATCTAATACAATTCCAAGATCTTCCTCAGACTAAGTTTTATTTGGAAGCGAGTCACAGTGTAAGACCAGATCTAAACACAAAACACAGATACCAGCAATCTTGGAAATGTGAATAAATCTTGGATAATGTGAGATACACACATATAGGACAAATACCTGTTTTCACAACTGCCACACAGCAGCCTTGGTGGAAAAAAAAATCTTCTCTAGCTGTGAAAAGCACAGGAGATACTGAGCCCACCTACAGTCTGCCAACTTGACCTTCTCAGAGCTTGAAAAGCAAGTGGGAGGGAAGCATGCTTTTGTCTCGTTATTAAATCTTAAAATAGCAACGTGTAGGAGAATCCTACCCTCCTGCCCCGTGCACTAAGCTGAAGGGGAAAGGGAGGAAGAGGTGAGAGGGAGGATTAGAGTCAAGTTGAAGTTCTTGCAGAACAGGCTCTGAGCTGACCAGAGATGCCAGGAGACAAAGGACATTTGCCTAGAATCTCTTTCCTAACTCTACAGTGTCTGCCATTATATGCACAGCCTGGTTACAGTTCACTGAATTAACAAAAAAAATGAACAGATTTCCATAATGAAAAAGCCTCTACGTGGCTCCAGAGTGCAACAACAAGAAAGGGCACAACAGCTTGGGAAGATGTAAAACAAGGATCAAATCACTTTTTGCCTCGTTGGATTGCAGTTTTGAGCCCCTAAATGAACAGTTATTTCCAGCAGATCATCTGTAAAGTGCACAAAGCAGTGGGGTCAGCAGGGCTGTCTGCAGGAAGCCAGCACACAGGCTGGAGAGAGGCAGCCAGGCCCTGCACATCTGCATCATCAGCACTGCACGGGGACCAGCAGCACGGCTCTATTTATAACCCAGACAGGGGCAGCTGGAGCTGGCAATGAAAGGCTGGCACTGCAGGCTGCCAGCCCCCAACAACATGCTGTCTGGTTTAATTAAAGAGATGGCCATGTGCACATGCACACATACGTGTCCTTTTCCCAGGAGAGTTACCAACAATGATCCCAGTGTTTCAAAAACAGCGTTTCACCAAGGTTTCTGTGCAGAGAGCAGGCAAATGTGTCCTCACACAACCTCCCCACCTCCTCACTCTGTGCCCAGATTTCACTGATGGGCAGCTCACCACTGCTCAGGCAATCACTTTCCCTTGTGTGATGGATTTGTTTATAGCCCTGCACAGGAAAACAAAGTCACTGTAGTATTTATCTACATGAAGAAAAGAAAATTTAGTTTGCAAAGAAGATATTTGGGAGTCACGTGCATCTTCTGCATCAGGACAGCCTGCTGTGCCACCAGGCTCTGTCTGGTAGCTTGTTCCTTCAGGGATTTTTTAAACATTTACATATAGTTTGTGGAGGGCTGGGATTCAGGTTTCAGAGAAATTTTTTGAGACCTTGCAGACATTTAGAAGGGCAAATTGCTCTCAAATACAAAGCTCTGTCTCACAGTGAGCAAAGAGAGCATCTCCTTGTTGTGGGACTGGAAATCAAAGGGCTCTATTATGTCCTCCATCTTCCCCCTCTCACTTTCCATAGCTCCCATGAGTTAAGATTCCCCTGCCCAGGAATTCTCGAGCCATGGACCCCAAAACAACAAAGGGCAGGAGAAGACTTGCTGCAGTCAGGCTGCTGTGAAAGAAGCACTGTTGGTACACAACGAGAACCTGTTGACAAAGTATTAGTTTATCAATGGGTGGCTGCTGGTGAGGTGAAAGCAGCCATAGAGCAATCCCAGAGATCAGGTCACAGCCTGGGCTCTGTTCTGCTGTACTCAGCCCTGGCAGCCTTTGGCTGCATGAGGATATCCCACAGAGAGCCTGAAGCTAGTCCCCCATCCAGGGATCACTAAGCACATCCATGCAGAAGCCCAAACAAAAACAAACCTCTTCTAAAAGCCAACACAGGAAGTAATGTTTGCATTGTAGCTCCCTGAGCTTCCTGAGATAGCCACGAAAAGCCACTGCAAGTACAGTCCCCAGTGTCTTTGCCCACAACTTAATGCAGAACTCATTCAAAATACAACAAACCTGTTCTGGAGGAAATGATGCTTCTGGAATCCAAGTCAAGCTTCTTTACTAGGGTATCAGGGTCAATTTTCAGCCCAGAAAATACACCAGAAGATGAGAAGTCCCAGTCCTTATGCAAAAGAAACATAAAGCAGGAATCAGTACATATACCACCAGGCAACACCTGTTTAAAAAAATTAGAAAATCAAACCCAGCACCATTCAGATAGGAACAGTGGTAGTGAGCAGGCATCTCTCTTGAGCATGTAAGGCACCATACTGTCCTGCTCCCCCTGCCTTCTCCCCAGCTCTTCCACACAGAAGGAAGTTTTACAAAGTCTCGTTTTTGGACTGTTCTGCTCCCAAAAGATTCCAGCCTCAACTCAGCCTCACCTCACTCAAGTGCATTCACTCTCAGGAGAGCTGCGAACAGCATCCTTAGGAAAAGACAGATTTATTACAGGTACAGAACACAGATAAGCAACAAATGAGGAGATTAGGGGATTAAACCCTAAATCAGCGGACATTAAGCAGATTCAGTAACTACTAACAACTAACCAAATCTTCAGCATCACACTTTAAGCATGCAACGCCTCCCTATGATCTGCAGCAGCTACTCTGGTTAATTAGACTTTATTACTTTAGCCAACAGTCTCTACCATCACCAACACCGTGGTATAAACCCAACTGTGTTTGGCACAGGCAAGTCCTGCCTCCGCACAAGGAAAAAAACATTTACTGGGGTTGTGTCCTTGCTGTGAAGGGGTTAAGGGGAGGCACCTGAACCCTGTATCCAAAACACAGCTAAGGGAAACAGAATACTTGAAATAATTCTGTATAAACAGCTCCTCTCCGTCTGTCCTAAAAATTGAAGAGAGGCGCTGCAAGACTCCCTTCCTGTATTCAAGTTACCCCATGGACACGCAGCCCAGGCACGCTGACCCCAGGAGCACCAGCAGTGCTGGGACACGTGCGTGTCACTGTGTCACCATCCTAGGCGGGCTGGGGCCACCACGGTGCTGCCATGGCCCGGACTAGTGGTACTGCCACTGCAGCAGGAGCTGCCCAGCAGCACCGGGGGTTCCACAGCGCTTCCCCTGCCAACAGGGACCCTGCGTGCGCCCTCCTGTCAGCCACCACCGCCACGGCCAGGCCAGCACCGACACACACGCCCAGGCCCTGCAGCCAGCACAGACCCGCAGGCGCTCCGCTGGCGCTGGGGCTGTGCGGGGCCGGCCCTTTCCACAGGGGGGAGGCGGAGAAGTCACTCCCTGCCGCCGGCCGGCCGGCAGCCCCCGCCCGCCGCCCCGCGTGTCCCGCCCCCGGTACCTTCCCGGCCGCCGCGCTCCATCCGCCGGCGGCGGGGCCGGGCCCCGGCCCGAGCGCAGGCCCGGGGAGCGGCGGCGGGTCGCGGGGGGCGGCGCGGGGGGCGGCGCGGTGCAGCCGCGGGCGCCGGGCCTTGCCCACCATGGCGGTGCGCGGGGCGGAAGGGGCCGGGCGGGGCGGAAGGGGCCGCGCCGGGCGGAGCCTTCCGGCCGCGGCCGCACCGCGCCCACAGCCCCGGCCGGGAGATTTGCCTTCCTCCCTGCCACGGGCGGCGCTCTGAGCCGCAGTGTGGGCTGCCCGAGCGCTCTGCAGCGTCGTGGTGACAGGTGCAGTGGCAGCCTTGTGTGTAATTAACTCTGCAGCGTGTTGGTGGCAGGTGCAATGGCAGCCTTGTGTGTAATTGCCCTCGGGTCTATTGCAGCCCGCCCACGTTGGTTCTTGTGAACGGCCTGAGGGCGTTCAGCGTGCTTAGGTTAAACACACTCTACAACAGTTCTAAGTCAACACTACTCATCTCTTGAGCTCTTGGTAGCGTTGGAAATGATACAACTTTCCTGAACTCGTTGTAATTAATTGATGGGTTAAGCACCGCCCACTTTGTAAGTTTCTCCGCAGACTCTTAATGTTACCTCGATCGTTAAACCACCGAAACCTTGAGCTGGTTAACCGTGACAAGCTTCAACGAGCAGAGCCAAAGTGAGTTGAAGATTGGGCATCTAGGATCTTAAATTTATGGCCTTTCAAGGGCGTTGGAATAACCAGAAGGTACCAGAGGAGATTAAAGCCTGGAAAGTTGGAAACTCCGTGTCTGATATACAGATGATAAGAGGACTAAAGAATGTGGACCAAATTAGCATGAAGGGCAAGAGATCAATAAGCAATGCAGGATAGAATACTAATTAATGAAGATAATTATGTTATTTACATCAATTTCTAGAATGTATTATATATATGTGTGTGTGTGTAATGTATAAATAAGTGAAAAAAGTTTTGTACTGGGGTCAGTGTGGAGGCTGAAACGTTTTTAGCCACACACACACACACACACACACCCTCCTGGCCAGGAATAAAGCCTTACTCACTAACACTAAAAAGAGAGTTTTAGAGAGAGTCTTATTTATCCCAAGATTTTGGAGGTTTCTTGATCGCAGTATCACCAGCCAGCAACCACGCTGCCACAATAGGGCGAAAAACAACTCTAAAACCTCCTGCCAGGAGTTATTTCTACGGTTTAAACAGTAGGAAATACCCAGCAAGCCCCTAGGGAGGGCCAGCACTACAGTCATGGGCCCAGGTGCACACCACAACAAAGCAACCCAAGCCTCAGCTGCACCTTTCCACACACAGGGGGAGGAGAAATGCAAAGCTGCTTCTCCTTGCTCCGAGATGAATAAAAAGCTCCAAGCCTGGAGCCACAGTCTGTTTGATCTTAACAAGCCCTGACAGGTGCTCCCTGGTTAATGCATCTTTGTTTTCCACATCCTCTGTCCTCCCTATTTCCCCCCCCAGGCTGTGTTTCCCAGGGCCTGGTAATTGGGCCATAGAAGTGCACAGCTATAAGTGCAGTCCTTGTGGATACCAAAGAAATTCAAAGAGAAGCCTCTGGGAAGGTACTTGGAAAGATCATAGAATCACGGAATATGCTGAGCTGGAAGGAACCCATCAGGATCATTGAGTTCAACTCCTGACCTGCACAGGACACCCCAACAATCTCTGTGACTCAGAGTGTCATCCAAACGCTCCTGGAGCTCTTGCAGCCTTAGGACTGTGACCATTCCCTGGGGAGCCTGTCCACTGCCTGACCACCCTCTGGGGAAAGAACTTTGGAAGATTAAACCTAAATCTTCCCTGGTGAAGGTCCCTGTCATTTCCTCAAGTCCTGTCACTAGTCATGAGAGTGAAGAGATCAGTGTCTGGCCCTCTGCTTCCCCTTGAGAGGATGCTGAAGATGTGGAATCACATAATGGGTTGGAAGGAACCTTAAAGATCTTCTTGTCCCACTCCCCTGCCTCTAGATCAGGTTGCTCCAAGCCTAGTCCAGCCTGACATGGAATACTTCCAGAAATGGGGCATCCACAAGATTTAATGTTCATCAGGAATAGAAAATAACAACAGGAGAACATCCCTTACCCTGCTGTAGGCTGGGTGAGCATCATTTAGGAACAAAGTCCCAAAATGACAACTCTGATCATCAAAATCAATGACTTTGGGAAAAAAACACTCTGATAGTGCCCAGGTGGATGCCCAGCTCCCTACCCCAGCTGCTCAAGTGCATCCTGCATAAACCACAGCTCTCCTGCAGTTACTGGTAGGGGGAAACACAATCCACAATCCTAATAAAAATAAAAACATGAACCAATAAAAATAGAGGCAGTTAAAATAGGAAAGGGAATGTTTAGCACCTTAAAATGCTTACAAAACAGATATGTGCTGTGACCAAGCATATCCCCAAAGGTTGCCCCCCTCTTCACCTGCGGCACTGAAGGCCAAAGCTGCAGCAGAGCTGAGGAACAGCTGGAAGGGACTGGAATACGCTACCAAGCTTCAGCTGCAATGTACATCCCATGGTACATCCCTATCAGTGGCTATTCTTTTTTCCTCTGCCTTCAGTCAGAATCAGGATTGAAGGCACGAGAGACAGATTCTTGTATTCGTACTCAGTTGTTTATTAATTCTTGTCTATAGTACAGTGAGTGCTACAGCACTTCTAGCTAACAGGCTAAAAGGGAAAAGATGTCAGTGGATCTCACTAGTTGCAAGGTCTTTTAAGGCCTAACTATCCAATTAAAAGCTAACATCTATATTATTTATACTTTGGACCCAATGACCAAACCTGTGACCTGCACTGTGGTACTTTCTATCCAACCAAAAACTATTGCCTGAAATCATGAAGAAGAAGGAACAAGAAGGAAGAAAAAAACAACGCCCAAGAACTTCCATCTTGTCCCATACCTATTGCTATATTCTAAAACTCTAAATTCCAAACCTTTCACCATGTGATATTACACCCTTCTATTCAAACTACACACCAGTGATTCTAACTCTATCACTCAAATTTGGAAGCCTTCTCCAAGGCATCGAGTCAAAAGCAGTGTTCTTTTGGGGGTCAGTGCCAGAAAGCACAGAAAGTTCAAAACTCCCAGGCTTCAGGATTCCAACACATCCTCTCTGCTCCCACTCTTCCTACTCTGGGGGCTCACAGCTCTCCCACCCCATTCCTGCAGCCTTGAGTTGGACAAACCCCATGAAATACGTGAGGAGGGAAATTATGGCAGCTCACCTCATCAACCACACTTTCTTCCCCCAGACCCACAGCCCCCACTGCTGGCAGGAAGCTCCACCGACCTTCCCAGCTTCATGTACCACAGCTCACCCACCCAGGGCTCTGCAGCAGCCAGGCTGGCTCAGCATCCCAGCTCCAGCTCAGGGGCCATCCCCACCTTATCCTGCATCAGGTGCTCCAATGCTCCTGTCCCACTGCCAGGACTACTGTGATACTTTCCTGCTGCACCTGGCCGTGATGAAACCAAGCCAGGACTATGATATCTTCTTTAATAAAAGCACCAATCCAACAGAGCATCCATCCGGGCTTGGAAATTTTCTGCTGGTACTGCAATGTCTTTTCTTGCTGAAAAATAAACTCATAACTGTAACACAGCAGCAGGTAAACAGCATCAGGGTCTTAAAATGCCTCAGGCTGCCCTGACCATGGCAGAGAATTGGAACAAGATGGTCTGAAATGTCCTTTCCAACACAAACTCTTCTGGTATTCCATGATAATGCAAAACAGTGACTCAACATCAGCTTGCTTGGAAGGAGAACCTACAAAGCAATTAATAAAGACTCACATTAATTAGCTTTTAAAAAACTCTACAATCCTGTATGTTTTCTAAGTGACTTCATTTTTTTTTTGCTGTAGTGCCCTGACGAGGTTAAGAGAAAATTGCTCGGAGCTGGTTCCTCTCTGCTCAGGGAAATGCTGCTGCTGGGGGGAGTTATTGAAGCCAGCACAGAAACGCTAGAAGGCTGCTTAAAAAAAATTCCTCGCACAGCCCTGAGCTTTGTCAAAGGACGGCGCCTGCATCCTCTGTCGTGTGAGGAGGCCTGGCTACCCTGATACAAACATTTCAGAGCCCAGCCCACAGTCTGAGAGGAGCCAGCTCCCCATCTTCTCCACACCCAAGGGCTGCCGATATGAACAAGTTTCCCCTACTCCCAGCCCACTGAGCTCAGTGCTGATCCCCACAGAGATGTGAAAGGTGAAAAGTTCTCATAAAGCACAGGGTTTTGGGTGGGTCCCTTTCCTGGGTACAGTGGGAGGGCAGCAAGCCCATGGGTGTCCCAGGGAGACCAGTCACAGTCCCACAAGGCAGGATGCTGTGAGTTCGGCCAGGTTGACTGGGGCTGGCTGGGGTTTTGGGGAAACACGCCCTCCTACAGGCAATACTCTTGACTTCCTCTTCCCCTGCAACTGCAAGACAGAAATAGGAAGGAAAGATTGGGGTACATCACGGAGCTCCTGATTCCCAGCTGCTTCCCCCAGCCAAACTTGAAAAGCTGAGATCATCCTCATCCCAGAGGACCAGACGAGGGCTTGTGGACAGGCGAGTACAGCATTTCAATTTTTACTCTTTTGTTCCTCCTTTCTTGGGGGGAGATAGGCAGGCAACAAAGGGGTTTTGTAGCTCTGGTGTTTCAATGGCATATATTTATTATTCCTGATCTAACCTCTGGCCACTTGAGTTCAGGGAGCTTCAGGGAGCTTGGCACAGTGTCCTTCCCACAGTCGGGTCAGTCTGTGCAGCCTTTGCAAAGCCAGCTTGCCTGGTCTGTAACCAATTTTGCCTTTGGAGGTAGCTTTGAGTCTGGAAATGCGGGTGGTTATTGTGGGCAGGGTGCCAGACCTCCAAAACTCCCTTTCCTCACCACCCTGTGGACTCAGAAAGCAGAAGAGGGAGGGTACAGAGTGCTCTTCACACGTCCTCTCACATGGCACTGGGCAGGGTGGCATGGGCTGTGCTCACCTGCAGCACCAGGGCCGTGTG